TCATGACCTGAGCCAAAGGCAGACACTTAACGACTGAGCCACCCAGGTGCCCTTCAAATAAATAAAATCTTTTTAAAAATAGCTCTTAGAAATTAAAGACATGAAATCAGAAATAAAAATTCAATAGAAGGATTGGAAAATAAAATTAAAGCAATTTCCCAGAAAGCTGAGCAAAAAATGAAGGAGATAGAAAATGCAAGAAAATTAAAGGTCTGGCCCACGGCATTAAACATCTGAGAAACAAAACTTCCAGAAAGAAATAACAGGAACATGGAGGGGAAGAAAAAGTCCAAAAAATTACTATATATATATATATATATATATATATATTTTAAGATTTTATTTATTTATTTGACAGACAGAGATCACAAGTAGGCAGAGAGGCAGGCAGAGAGAGAGGGAGAAGCAGGCTCCTGGCTGAGCAGAGAGCCCGATGTGGGGTTCGATCCCAGGAACCCGGGATCATGACCCAAGCCGAAGGCAGAGGCTTTAACCCACTGAGCCACCCAGGCACCCTGAAAACATGTATTTTTTAATTTTTTAAATTTATTTTTATTCACTTATTCTTTTAAGATTTTATTTATCCAAAAAAAAAAAAGGTTTTATTTATCTTGGGATGCCTGGGTGGCTCAGTCATTAAGCGTCTGCCTTTGGCTCAGGTCTTGATTTCAGTGTTCTGAGATCAAGACCCATGTAGGCCTCCCTGCTCAGCACTTGTGCCCCCCCCAATAAAGCCTTTTTAGAAGATGTTTTTCTATAACTGAAGAAGATGAGCTTCTAGGTTGCAAAGACCCACTGGGTCCCCACTAAAACATTCCCATGTAAGATTTTAGAAGGCTAGGAAAAGAGAAGATCCTAAAAGCTGTGATTGGGCAAAGAGAGAAGGAAAATGAAATGTCGTATGAAGCCCATTTCATGAAAATGGGCTTCATATGACATTTCATTTTCCAGAGTAAGAAAGTTTTCAGGGTTTTTAACAGCAACACCAGAAGCTTGAAGACAATGGAGAAATGCCCTCAAAATTCTTAGTGCAATTCTTAATGCAATTCTTAGTGCAAATTATTTCCAAACTAGCATTTGATACCCAAACACAAGACTGACAAGGTCCCAACAACTTTTTAAAGTTTTTATTTAAGTAATCTCTACACCCAATATGGGGCTTGAACCCACAACTCCAACACCCCGAGATCAAGAGTCTCATGACTTTCCACCGAACCAGCCAGTTGCCCTGAAGTCCCAACAAAATTATTTCCCAAGCACCCTTTCCTAAGAAGCTCCATCAAAATAAACTGAAAAAGATAAAGAGATAGGTTGGAGATAGGTTGCAGGAAACAGGAGATTAATCCAAGAGGTGAAAAGGGAATCCCAAGTTGGGTGTGGAGGGAGATCCAGCAGTGTGGACCGAAAACCAGCCTTTCGCAGCTAGAACAGGTCTAAAGGCTCTGTGAGAAAATTCTCAAACAGAAGAGATAAAATTCCTTACTTGTTTGTATATCCTTAGAACTCAACTCAGGGCTCCTGGGTGGCTCAGTGGGTTAGACCTCTGCCTTTGGCTCAGGTCATGATTTCAGGGTCCTGGGATCGAGTCCCACAGCATCAGGCTCTCTGCTCATCAGGGAGCCTGCTTCCCCTCTCTCTCTCGCTCTCTGCCTACTTGTGATCTCTCTCTGTCAATAAATAAAAATCTTTGAAAAAAGAATCATTAACACAACTAAAGGAGAATTTGGGGATAAGTTAGAGTACACAGAAAACGAACCAAACAAAAGGACAAAGCAACTATTAACTCCAGAAAAAACACAAATGGTTCAGGAAAGATAGACAACTACATCTCTCCACATGGCGGGGCGCCTGGATGGCTCATGCTGTTAAGTATCCAACTCTCGATTTCAGCGCAGGTCATGATCTCAGGTCAGGCTCTGTGCTCAGCATGGAGTCAACTTGAAATTCTCTCTCCCTCTGCCCCTCCCCCTGCTCCCCCCTCTCTCACTCTCTAAAATAAATAAATAAAAATCATTAAAAAAAAAAAAAAGCTATCCATAGGGCACAACTGTAAAGAGCATTTGCATCGTCATAATACATGAACACTAAACAGATCCAGCCGGAATTATGATATAATATTGGAAGCGTGGGATGATGGGAAATGGGGGTGGGGTGACGGTGGGAGTGGAAAAGAGAGTTAGCAGTGGGAAGTCAATAGCTAATGTCTGAAACAGAAGCAGGAGAAGTAGCAACATTGGCATGCTATTTTTAGTCTGAGATACACAGATGAATCTAAGACAAAACATAGTAACACAATTCAAACATTCAGTTGAAAGTGATTGTCTTTAAAAACTGAGGGAGTTGTAAGACTGCTGTTTTTTCTATTAGCCTCACAGAAGTATTTGATTGTTCATGTAATATAATGTGTATCTAGGATAGGAAAAAAAGTACTGATAACCTCATGGAAGGGGGCAGTTACTGGAGGAGATCAGTTAAGACACTATGGCAATTTGCAAAGATGATAGTGGAAGGGGACATAGGGATGTGGATGGATTTGAAAGACGTTTTAGTTATGCTTTCTCTATGCTCCCCCCCCTTTTTAAAAAAGATTTTATTTTTTTAAGTAATCTCTACACCCTGTGTGGGGCTGGAACTCACAACCCTGCGCTCGAGAATTATCCGCACAACCGACTAAGCCAGCCGAGTACCCCTCTATGCTCCCTTTATTTTTATTTATTTATTTTTAAGATTTATTTACTTGACAGAGATCACAAGTAGGCAGAGAGGCAGGCAGAGAGAGAGGGGTTAGCAGGCTCCCCGTTGAGCAGAGAGCCTGATGTGGGCCTCGATCCCAGGGTCCTGGGATGGAGCCCCTAGTTGGGCTCCCTGCTTAGCAGGGAGCCTGCTTCTCCCTCTCCCTCTTCTGCCCCTCCCCCTGCCAATGCCTACATGCACCTACTCTATCTCTCCCTCTTTCTCATGTGTATGCGGACTCTTTTTTTTTTTTTAAGATTTTATTTATATATTTGACAGATAGAGATCGCAAGTAGGCAGAGAGGCAGGCAGAGAGAGAGGAGGAAGCAGGCTCCCCGCTGAGCAGAGAGCCCGATGTGGGGCTCCATCCCAGGACCCTGGGATCATGACCTGAGCCAAAGAAGGAGGCTTTAACCCACTGAGCCACCCAGGTGCCCCTATGTGGACTCTTAATACATAAAATCTTTTTAAAAAATACGTTAAAAAATAAATATTTATTTAAGAGACAGTTAGAGTTGCGTGGGGTGGGGGGGGCCACCGAGGGAGAGAGCATCTCAAGCCAGACTCCTTGCTGAGCGCAGCGCCCCAGCCGGCCAGAACCAAGAGTCAGATGCTTAACCGGCTGAGCCACCCAGGTTCCCCTCCATGTTCCCTCTAAAAAGCCCTCCCCCTCAGCGCCCTCCCCTTTGTTCTAGCTGCCAAGGCCAGAACCCAGGTCCTTATCACCTCATAAGGCTCAGGCCCAACATCTAATAGGATCAGCTGGCAGAAAGCTAATGAGGTGATAAGTGGGCAGGAACCCAAGGGGAGATTGGCTGAGAATGGAGTGAGCTGGACTGGGGACATCGGGTGAAAACTGGCCAAGACAGGGTGGGGAGGGGCGAGACAAGAGAGTAATGCATGGAGACCATAAACTCCAAAAGCCAAGGCAAAACAAGATGGGGCAAGATAAAATTTGGCAATATTGCTTCCCACTTTATGCCCTATTCTTCTGCATTAACTTTTAAAGTATTCTATTCTGTTGTTTTTGTTTTTGTTTTTGTTTTTGAAGACGTGATACATGGGCATGGCACAAAATTCAGAAGATTCAAAGAGCTAAGTGGGAAAAGCTGTCCCCTGGCCCCTCAGATCCTCTCCTCAAAGGTGACTACATTCCCTCGGCTTGTTCGTGCGTTTTTCTGGAAATAATACATTCTGATGCAATTTAAGGTTAAGAAAGGCATCACTAGATAAATTGATCATACGTAAAAGATATAAATCCTGGGGTGCCTGGGTGACTCAGACGGTAGAGCATGCGTCTCTTGATCTCCGGGTCGTGAGTTTGAGCCCCATGCTGGGTGTATAGCTCACTAAAGAAAAAAAAAAGTATATGATCCCATTTGTACTCACTTAGCTAATGATGTGCATATATGGACATTGAAAAAAATCTGAAAAATTGATACCAAAGGGTTAACAGCAGTTAGAGAACTAAGGCTACGGATTCTATTTTGATGTTACATGTCCATTCCAATGTTCCTACCAGAAACCCACAGCAGCTGTGTAATAAAATATTATGAAAGTAGGACAGGAGCTTGTCTCCCTTCTTTCCTCCGTGGGTCTAACGTTCTGTTTTGGGTTTGCCGAACTGAAAATAAGGACTTTGTGACTTTTGAAAAAGGAAAAGCGCTGGTGAGCTGAACTGAGTTTATGGGGGAGGGGGGCGGGGGAGTTGAGGCAAGTGTCCCTTCCCAGCACCGTCGGGACTCCACCAGCAGGGGGCGGCCTGCTCCTGGTGTTGAGCCAGTGGGCGGGCCTCAGCCTGGGGTCCTGCACCTTGCATTCCAGACACTGGAGGCCTCTGTCTGGGTCCCAAAAGGAGACCCACCATCCTGATGTGCCAAGCTGACTCCTTGCTCTTCTCGTCTTTATACACTACAGCCAACACTCTGGCCCTCTGAGGATGAACATGGTCTTGGGCCCACCTTTGGGACCAGAAGCCACATCCCACCCACCCCCCGCCCCTGCCCCGACTCACCAGGAGACCAGAACATTCCAGAAAGGTCTCAGGATGGCTGAACTTATCGAGTCACGCACTCGCAGTAATTATCCTTTATTTCTCACCCTCAGCAAGGAGATGGGACGACCTCTCCCCCAATTCTGCTCTGTCCATATTTTGGGTATAGTTACTCCCAACCTCTCTTCCTTCAGAGGCCAGCGCCAGGGGACACAAGTGTCTCTGCGGAGTGCTTGGGGTGGGGGGAGGCGGGGGGGGGGGAGGAGCCGGTCCATTACGGAGATCCGCAAGGAACGGCCTCACTTTCCCGCCAACTTCCTCATGGCCTCTCCGTCAAAGGTAAAGGCATGCCAGCCCTCAGCTTCAGTCAGATCCTGAGCTCCCAGAGCCTTGTACAAGGCCATGGCTTTCTGGTTCCAGTCCAGGACGGCCAGGCGGAACTGGGAACAGCCCTGATCCAGGGCCACCTGTGGGAGAAGACGTCGCTGACTTTCCCATCCCAAAAGGAAAAGGCTTTCTTACCCTGCGTGGTGACCCCTGTGCCTCCCACCCGTGCTTGCTTTTCCAGGGCTAACCTGGAGGCCCCCCCCATCCCTCTCCTCACCTGCGCGACCCTTCTGATTATTTTGGAGCCAATCCCCTGACCTGTTGGGGGGGGGGCGGAGAAAAAGAGAAAACAAAAAGGGGGCGGGAGTGGGGGTGGGGAGGAGGAGGGGTTGTTTCCGTTGCAGGCACTCAGAGGAGGGCGTGAGGCTGGGGTTAGGGGGCAGGGGATGGGTGCTGGGTCTGGCTGGCTCCCCCCCCACCCCCCGCCCGGCCCCCCCCCCGTACCCCGATATTCCGGGGTCACGTAGATGTCTTCCAGATAAACGGTGCGCCCCTTCCACGTGCTGTAGATGAAGTAATACAGCCCGTACCCCACCACGAGCGGCCCTGGGATGGAGACAGAGGAGGGCACTGGGTGCCAGGGACCGACCTCTGCGAACGCCGGGGCGGGGGACCCTCGCAGGCCCCGCTGCTCTTACCCTGCGCGTCCCCGGAGGCGGGAGGAAGGTCTGCCACCAAACAGCGGTACAGAGGGTTCTCTCCGAAGCCATCCGCTCTCAGCGCTGCGGAGGTGGGGGTGCGGCAGAGAGACGTAAGGGCCTGGGTGTTCGCCTGCCCGGCCCGGAGCTCGGGCCTGGGGCACCCCTCCCCACTCCTCCCCAGCCTGGGCCCCCACCTTCTTCGCTGATCTGCACCTGGTCCAAGAGTTTCTCGTACTCGGCCAGTTCCTGCGGCGCGGGGACAGAGGCCAGATCAGGGCAGGGGCCCCCGACTCCCCGCGCCGCACCCCTCCTCCGGCCGCGCCGCCCGCACCCCCTCGGGGGCCCCGGGTTCCCGGCCCGCAGCCGTCACCCGAATCAGCCCCAAGATCTGTCCACAGTCGCCCTCCTCCGCCTCTCGGATCCGCACGGAAGCCATCTGGACCCCGCGGGCTGGGACTGAAGTCCGGGACCCTCCCCTCCGGTCCGACGGGGTTGCGGGGGGTTCGAAAGGGCCTACGCGCCGGGCCGGGACAGCGGGGGGCGGGGCGCGGCGGGCCAGGCCGCCGGAGTGGTGGGCGCGAGGGGGCGCCTCTCCGCGACGCACCCCTGCACCCGCCCGGGACGCGTCTCGCCAGCCAATCAGCTGGCAGAGCAGACCCGCCCCGAGGCCCTAGCCCTGCCCCCCACCGTCGGCCCCGTGACCCGGCCCCGGGCAGGGGTCAAGGCTGGACTGCCCGCCCCCTCCCTGTTGTCGCCTGGGTGTCCCAGCCTCTGTGGATGAAACCCGGCAGTTCAAAAGTCACCTCCCCCGGTCTTCCCTAAGTCACCTCCCCCGGTCTTCCCGAAGTGAAGTGTGCAGTGATTTTCGGCCGTTCTCGTCGCTCTCGCTCACCCACCCAAAGGCCCTGCGACGCTGGGTGATTCCTGAAACCCCCAGCTCTGAGCTGTCTCCTAGGGGTCTCGAATGGCTCTAGGTGTCCCCTCTCTCGGGCGCTCTGGAATTTCAAAACGGGATAGGGAGAGAGCGATGCGCTTCTGTTGGTAGATGCCACTAAATCACACAGGGACAGAACCTCCCTCAGAGGCCTGGGAAGACACTGAGGGAAGAGCTCAGAGCCTGCGTCATCGCAATGAATCCTCCTTCCAGTGAACCCCGTAAAGCAGATACTACTTTTCACATTTTAAGAACAAGGACACTAGCAAGCATCATGGTGGTGTGACTTGGCCAGACTCACTCAGCTGGATGTTTGGTAGTGGAAGTCTCAGCTGTAGTCCTCTCTCTCTCTCTCTCTCTCTTTAAGGATCTTATTTATTTGAGAGAGAGAGAGAGCGTGTGGGGTGGAGGGGCAGAGGCAGAGGGAGAAGCAGGCGCCCGGCTGAGCAGGGAGCTGAAGTGGGGCTCAATCCCAGGACCCTGGGAGCCCAAGGCAGACGCTTGACCCACCGAGCCACCCAGACGCCCCTCGGCTGTAGTTCTGACAGAGGATGCTTCTCGGGGTGCAGGGACCTCATGGGGGTGGTAGAGGCAGCCTCCCCAGAGGGGGCAGAAGACTTCAAGGGGCCAGGTCAGGCTCTAGAGGAGGAGAAGGGAAGAGGTATACTGTTCTAGCTCATAAACAATCCTGGCAGGGGTAGTGTAGTGGAGAAACTCGGTCCCTCCCCCAAGTTGTCATCAGAGGGGTCAGAAGGGCCACAGGGTCAGTGTCCGGTCTCTTGCCCCCCTTCGTCCCCCCGAGCAACCTTTAACCCAAGACGAACTACGGAAAGGCTGTCTGCCCCCACACATTCTCCCTAGAGTTCCCTGAGCCACTGAGAGGACCGTAGCTGACCATGGAGGGCAGAGGCCCGCTGGCCACATCTCCCGGGTGGCTGTCGCTGCTGCTGCTGCTGCTGCTACCACCTCCCGGCCACCAGGGACGGGCCCTGAGACATGGTCTCTCCGCCCAGGTGCAGGAGTCTTGGGATGGGGTGCTCCGTGCACATGCACGTGTTTAAGCGACCTTCACTTTGGCTTCTGCTCCTGCCTTCCTCCCCGGTCCATCTCTGGCCACTCCTCACTTGTTTGTTCTTCTCCTGCTGACAGAGGATCCAGGACCCCCCTGCTGTGCACCTCAGCAGTGGCTCAGGACAAGAGCCTATCACCATCATGACTTTTGACTTCACCAAGATCAGGAAGTATGAAGTTGACTCAGCCCCTTGTTGGAGTCCGCCACGCTACCTTCCCTCTCTTGGATCTTCTCCTATCTCCCTCCCTGTCCCTCAGCCTCCTCCTCCCCACTTTTACACCCAGAGGGCATGCCACATGCACAGCCTTTCCTTCTCTGTCCTTCCAGAAGCTTTTCCTCCTTTGAGCTTCAAACCTGGGATCCAGAGGGAGTGATTTTTTATGGTGACACCAACCCAGAGGATGACTGGTTTGTGCTGGCACTTCGAGATGGCAGGTCCGAGATCCAGCTGCACAATCAGCTGGCACAGGTGACTGTGAGTGCTGGGCCCCGGCTGGACGATGGCAGGTGGCACCAGGTAAGCCGGCTCCGGTCCTGAGGGGAGGCGTGTCCCGAGCTGGTCCGCAGAAATGCAACAGAAAGGAGTTTTCGGGCATCCCCTTCCCACCGTCGCCTTATTCAATCCGCACACAACCTCCACGGCCTCACTGTGCCCGTCCCCAGTTTTCTGGAGGGCCATCCTGAGGCTCACAGGCCCGAGTGAACCAAGGATGCTAGCGGACTCCACGAGTCCATGTTATTTCTGTGATACGCGGCTGCTTGGGAAGAAGGGGGCAGAGGCAGGCCCCAGCGGCCTCTGATTGGGTTCTGCTCCTTCCTCCCTGCAGGTGGAAGTGAGGGTCCTGGAGGACTCCCTCCTCCTGAGCGTGGATGGGGAGGAGGTGCTGCGCCTGAGACAGGTGTCTGGGTCTCTGGCCAGCAAACCCCAGCCCATCGTCAGGATTGCCCTGGGGGGACTCCTGTTCCCTGCCTCCAGCCTCCGTTTGCCGGTAAGGACATTGCAGGGCTGGGGCTGACCCAAGCTGTTAGAGTGTGGCTGGTTGGGTGACCGTGGGAGCCCAAGGCCACACTTTTCACAAGAGCTGGTGGCGCGTCAGCTGCGTGGGAGAAGCCAAGAACTTGTGTCTCGGAGGGGAATCAACTGAGGGCGGACAGGGGCTCCGATGTCTTGATGACGACATCCCTGCTTCTTCCCTTCCCTCCACTGGCTCCAGCTGGTCCCTGCCCTGGACGGCTGCCTACGCCGGGGTACCTGGCTGGACCCGCAGGCCCAGACCTCGGGGTCTGTCCCTACGAGGAGCCTCAAGAGCTGTGCCTTGCAGTCCCAACCTGGAACGTTCTTCCCTCCAGGAACCCGTGCAGAATTCAATCTCCAAGGTAAAGGCTGCTCTTCCCTGTGCAGCTAGCTCTGTGTCTGCCTTCCCCCATCTCCTTCCAGCCCTGGGTGCCTCCGTCTGTTAGCCCCCAGGCTTGAGTCCTCACGGGGATCTCTTCTCTCCCCGCCCCCCGCCGCCACCACCCAGACATTCCCCAGCCTCATGCAGAGCCCTGGGCCTTCTCTCTGGACCTGGGACTGCAGCAGGCAGCAGGCTCTGGCCACCTCCTTGCCCTTGGGACCCCAGAAAACCCTTCTCAGCTCAGCCTCCACCTCCAAGATCAAGTAAGAGGGGTGCTGGCTATATTCGGTGGAGCCAGGGAGCAACGGGTGGAGGCGGGAGGAAAAGGGGGTCTCCAAACTGTATGTTAAGAACACTTAAGGTGCAGGGGGGCAGGGGGCAGAGACACATCTCGAAGCTGCCCGCAGCAAGCAAGTGACATTTTATTTACTTATTAATTCGATCTTATGGTTAAGGAATCTCTATACCCAACATGGGGCTCGAACTCACAACCCCGAGATCCGGAGTCTCATGCTCTGCCAGCTCAGCCAGCCAGGCACCCCCACAAATGGCTTTTATCTAGACTGTATTGACTTGGGAGAGGTGTGGTTTATGAATATCAAGCCGGGAAAATTGAGGCAATAAAGGACGGGGCCCCAGAGAGTAGATGTGGTTCATTCTTTCCACCCCTCAAACCCCCCAATCCCTGTCCCTCACACTCTGCAGAAGGTGGTGGTGTCCTCTGGGACGGGGCCCGACCTGGATCTGCCCCTGGTCTTGGGACTCCCTCTTCAGCTGAAGCTGGCTGCGTCCGAGGTGGTCTTGAACCAGGGATCTAAGAAGGAGATCCTTGCTCTGCCTGACTTGGACTTGGCCTCCCTCCTCAAGCTCTGGGTCCGGCCGCAGGGGCGCCTTTTCCTGGGGGCTCTGCCAGGTAAGATGGGGACATTCACGTTGCTCGGCACACCACTGGAAATAGGTAGAGGGAGAGAACAAGACGGGCAGGCTTGTGTTCCTAGGGGAAGGAAACCTCTGAAATGGAAAAGAAAGGCCACAAGAAGAGAAGGGATAAGGGGCAGCAGGAGGAAGTGCTTTAAAAAAGTTAAGTCAGAGGGGCGCCTGGGTGGCTCAGTGGGTTAAGCCGCTGCCTTCGGCTCAGGTCATGATCTCAGGGTCCTGGGATCGAGTCCCGCATCGGGCTCTCTGCTCGGCGGGGAGCCTGCTTCCCTCTCTCTCTCTCTGCCTGCCTCTCTACTTGTGATCTCTCTCTGTCAAATCAATAAATAAAATATAAAAAAAAAAAAAAAAAAAAGTTAAGTCAGAGAGCTGGGAAAGTGGGGGGCAGCCAGTGGTTCCAAGTTGCCCTAATGCGCCCTCCGGGCCCCCTCTGTGTGCTTGAATGGCCTTTGGGCCCAAGGCCAGAAGCTGGACATGGACCGGGCCCTGAGCAGAAGTGAGGACATCTGGACCCACAGCTGCCCCCAGGGCCCAAACAATGGCACCGACACCACCCATTAAATCCCCACCTAAGAATCCCCTTGAACGTCTCTCATTTATTACTCGACCACGGTTCACGGTGCCTCTGCAATGTACCAGGCGCCCTGCTGCACAGCGGGTTGTACTGATGAGGAAAGGACACCCTGCTTCCTGGCTTCTTGGTGCTCATGGCCCCCCCGCGGGAGGCAGGCATCCAGCAAAGACTCGCAAGTAAGTGGATGACTGGAAACCGGTAAGCGCCATAAAGGGAGCTTGGAGAGACCTTAACCTAATCGGGGGTCAAGGCAAGCTTCCTGAGAGCTGTGGCTTCTCCAGCTGAGATTAACAGCAGCACCAGGACACACACACACACACACACACACACACACACACACACACACTACATACAGGTAATTTTCTTTCCCAGCATTTACTCCCTGTGGAAGTTCCACTCTCCTGTCCCCCCACGTGGACCCCGCGTGGACCCCGCGTGGGAGGTCGGGGTCCAGAGGGGAGGGGAGCAAGGGAATTCTGTCCTCCCTGCGATGGGCCACTGCTGTGCAAGGAAGGAGCAGCAGGGGGTGTGAGAGAGCCGTAGAGACAGGGGGGCAGCGTTCTGGGAAAAGGGGCAGAAACGGCAGGAAGGAAATAAAAAAGGAGTGGCGCCCAGGGAGAAGCAGCCTGCATCTCTCCCAGTCTTGGT